TTCTGCGCTAGGCAGATTCTTGTTCAACGACACAGTCGTCCTGCTTAAGACAACTGCTATTGAATACGTATCGAAAGCAGCCTGCGTGATCCAGTTGAGGATTGTGAGGTTGCGATCATCTACAATGCCTCGTCCATATTTAATGAGACAGGACTCTATAACTTGGCCAAAGCTCCCCACGCTCATATTATACATATATATTTTTATACAAATTTATATTTAACTGAAAAAATTCCAGCTTACGTTCGAATTATTATTTTCACCTTCGAGCAAAGCGCGGCACTTTTCGTCAATTTCGGATGTACCAAATTCCCAAAGATAGGCGGCGATTTTACATTTTATCAATAACGCTCAGTATATTCATATTAATGAAATTAATATTAATTAGGAAAATTGACAAAAATGTATCAGAAAGCAAAATACATCCGTAAACAGTTTTACCTTGTACTCTATGCTCTGATGAGCGGCCAGAGTGATAGCGAGACCCACAAATCGTGATAGCCACAAATCTCGACGATTCGAGCGTTCTGAGCAGTATTCGTCAATTCCAACCCGCCGAATTCCGTGGAAACTTGCAAACCGAATTCTCCCAAATCCCAAAGAGCGGCTGCCGTTTTCTCGTCCACGTATACGCCTTCTGATCGTCCTTAGCCGCATCGTTTATTTTATTATCATCAAATAATGTCCGTAATTAAAAAATAAATTATTTGACAGCAATATGTCAATTTTCCTCCTTTTTGTTTATCTGAAATTTAGTATTCCTCTCATTGTGTAAAGGAATATTTTTTAGAATGTACAATACGCTTGATCTTCAAATTTTATATGTTTAGAACCTATGAATTTGAAACCCGTCATTAACACATATGGATCGAGTACTGCGCGTTAATATAAGTAAACAAATACATAACAGTTCCAGGTTCCCAGTGTCATAATTTACATGAGGTATGCGTATACTTGACAAGATTCTCGTGCTCGCGGGACACATTCCAAGGTCCACGTATGTCAGACGCACACGCTTGTAACTAAAATTAATTTATTTTATATTTAAATTTTTTTTATTATTCTCACTTATAGTCATTTAATCAGATAATATGTATATTGTAAAAATTGCATCGTGCCGATTATATCTTAACATCTTATTTATATTTTGTTTATACTTTTACTATCATTAATCTATAATATATACTAAATATTTTTCAATTATTTTAATAATCTTTCTCTTTCAACATGTTTTATACCGTATCGTGGTAATGTCGATATCGCTCAATTTGCAAGAATCAAGATTTTGTAATATTGTATGTGGTAAATAATTAAAATTTTTTGTAAATATAATTAAGTACATATAATTTGCTCTCTTTTGTCGGCCTATACATGCATGTTTAATACAGTGACTTACGTATATTAACAATTATTATAAGTATTTTATTATTTAATGATCAATAATGTATTATGTAATTTAATAATCAATTATGTATTATGTAATGATCAACACTGATTGGATGATTGTTCTGCATGCAAATGTCTTCATTCAATTTTAACAATATAATAGTAGTGAGTAAATATTAGATACTGCGTACTACATACATTATACATACACATGTTATTAATGATTTTATGATAAATGCGTATAAAAGGAAACCTCACCGATTTCATCGCCACGGAAAGTCTTTCAAAGTAATTCTACGCAAGAAAAATGTGGGGAACGGCATTGCTTTAGAAGAAATAGCAAATTAAAGTTTTACATATTTAATACTCTTTTTACGTATTATGAAGTAACATTATAGTTCTAAGAGAAGCAATTTGCTGATATGTGTACTCTATACACACATATTAACAAATTACTTTCCTTAGTACTTTCCTTAGTAGAAAAAATAATATATTATTACAGCATACACCTTTAAACTTTAAACTTTAATGTCAAACTTGAATTTGTCGTATATACCTTTTAAACTAATATCGTCCCCCATTTTTTTTTCACGTAGAATTACTCAGAAAGACCTTCCCTACAACATATTTAAGTGGCAATAAAATCGATGAAATTCGGCATTTTATACACATTTACCGGTTCTATATCTCTTTTAATCTTTTTCTATAATTGTACAGCTGAGTTATCTACATGTCAATGTAATTGTCAGCCCGTTACCCAAAAAGTACAAACACAGTTATCTTGAAATGAGGAGGGGAAGAATTATACATCAGTGTCTTTCTTGATTCAGTCGGTACTAGGATCTGATCGAAAGACCACACGAGTAGCGCAACGATGTTAAGTAGTGTCATTTTGTTTGTTTGTTGTATGTTAATGGGTGATCTCGTGACGGCGTCGAAACCAATGTCGATTTTAGTGATAGAGACTATTCCGTCGACTAGTCACCACGTCTGGACGGAGCATTTGGTTAAAGGATTGCTTCGTAAAGGCCATCATGTACATATAGTGAGCATACATGAGACTAAGATTAAAGGAATACTCGGGCAGAATTTGACATATGCCGTAAGTAAATATTATGAGATTCGAAGACATTCGCCTGAGAGACGTTACACTACCGCTCAAAGGTATATATTGACCGCTTTAAAGAAATTTAATTAAAGATGAGTTTATTAATAAAATTATAATGAAAAGGCTAATAATTTGCTACATATGCCTTTATTGTATACGTAGTTACATGTTATTTAAATAATGTTAAACAATAATTTGACAAGAAAATAACATTATTTTTAAATTTTCGCCTCATTAAGATGGTCACGTTTTTTTATTACAACCATACAGAATTTTGGCATCCTGTCGATTAATTTTGTAATTGATTTTGGTTTCTAAATACACCAACGTGATGATCTCGGAAAATGATTTTTCGTACGCAAAATAATTACATGAAATTAGGAAGTAAGGACCAATATAACATTATATAGTTTTGTGTAAGTTAACAATCAGTACACGTAACAATAATCTTTTGCACTTTAAACCATTTACTGTAAAAAATTAAGATTTTTTCCCATTTTTTCTGGGATGGTAAATACTTTTGAGCGGTAGTATAAATCGATTATTTGGAATTTATATATGATAAATAAAAAAATATATAACTTCTTTATTGTAAAATTTTGTTTCCTATTTTATTATACATAAGATTAATAATTGCTTTTTGAGATAGTTTAACGCATTTTCGTATGTCCTCTCCTGTAAAGCGAAGAGTACTTATTATTTTCAGGTTTTCGATGGTGTAATGCAAACTTATGAACAATCCGAGGATTATAATCCAGCTGAATGGGAACAGTACAGTGTACTTTATATGGTGAATTTTATGTATCAGTGGGGCATGAGCGGATGTCAGACAGTGATAAGAACTAAAGCTGCAAGAGAACTCTTGGAAATGGTAAAAACTGTCGAGTTTGACGTTATAGTGCAGGACATTACTATAACTCAATGTTTCTACGGATTGTGGGAGGTAGGGCAATCTAGTATTAGCGAAGTGTATAGTAATTGTTCAGTCTAGCTTTTAAATTGCAAGCGACTTAGCAAAGTTGCCTTATAAATCAAAGTGTGTTTTCAAGCGTAGCAAATTGAAAAACATTCTTAATCATTCGTTATTTAGTTCAAAACGATGTTGAAATACGATGTTTTATTGTGAATGTCTTTAATACACGAAATGCGTAAAAATGCATGAAAAATTTTGTGCCACTCTCTATACAAATAAAAGGATAACAAGCGGGAAGTTACTGAAACTGTGGGTCTATTTTCTATTGCTACACTGACTGTACATACTAGTTCGAGAAGTGTACAATGTGTACATATACATTGAAGCAGGAGAAACGTACATATGAGACCCTCATGCTTTAGTGTGTAGGGTTCTTGAACTTGACAGCCAGTGCAGCAATAAAAAAAAGATACCCTGTATAAACCCTTGTCCCCACGATGCCGAAAATCACTCCGAGATCTAGGACGAAGAAAGAAATTGACACACGATCACATTTGAACATTTCAGCCAATTAACTAATATTCATGTTGGTCAATTCTTTCTCCGTCCGAGATCTCGGCGATTTCTAGCGTCGTGGACACAAGGCTATAAACTGTGTAACATGAGTAGACTGCAAACTGGAATGAGTTAAACCTTATATATACTTTAGAAGAAATAAGTCATTCTTATTAGCACGTAGTTTAAAAAGGGTATACATATATAAAACTTACAAAAACAAATATTGTACAAAACATTTAAGAATTTGACTGGTTGCAATATATTGTTGCGTTTGGAGATTCTTACCTGCAATCTCGGCACTCTTGCACTCTTATAAATAATTGAGAATCATTATTGTAATAATAAACCTCGTACTAGCTTTAACAAATGTAAAATAATACATGGAAATAATAGTCGCAGAACTAAATACACTACTTTCGTGTAAAGAGATAGTTTATTTTTATACAAATAATATATTATTTTTACATTATCTGCAAATAAAATAACGGGCTAGTTCTGCAAAATAGTACTTAATTTATTATTTTATTTCGTTTATTTATTACAAAATAACAGCTATTTAGTTTTAGCATTTTCTATTGTCTGTAAGTATTGTTTTTCAGGTTGCTAAAGGTAAGCCACCCGTAGTAGGCTATGTTCCATTTGGTGCTGCACCTTGGCTCAAAGATTATGTCGGTGGTCCAAGTTACCCGACTGTTCGGCCCTACCCTGCGTCCATTGTGAAACCCGATGGTTTATGGCTGAGAGCATGGAATGCTTTATATTACATTGTGGATGACCTCATACGAGATTATTATTATTCACCTATTGTTCAACAACTTACTGAGGAATATTTAGGTCATGCAATCAGACCATTACATGAAATAGAAAAAGACAGAATTAATATAGTACTAATCAATACTCATCCTGCGCTCGAGCCTGCGATCCCATTGCCGCCGAACACTCTCGAGATTGCAGGACTGAATGCCCAGGCCATAGAACCAATTGCCGGCGAGGTAGTCGCGACGTATCCTGAGGTGAGAGAAATTATACTTGTTACTTGAAAAGCGCAATTTAGCAAAAATTGCAATAAGAATATTAACAAAAAAGAAAGGTGTATACTAAAATAGAATTTTAACGAAACCCTAGTTTGTTATCTATTATTATCTATATTCGAAGATTATCGCTCTAGAACCTTATCATTCCTCTTGTGTTGCACAGATTTTTCCGTTCCATTCAACATATTTCCAGTAACCAAAATGTTAGTAATATGCGCACAGATTGGCAGCAAATTTGATTAGAATCCACACTAATATGGACAGCTTTGCTAATAATTAAGTCATCGAACGAATAAAATTCTTTGTCTATCTTGGTTGTAAAAAATACTGTTCTAATTCGCGGAATTTTAAATAAACATAGTTAGATCAAGATAAATCTTTAATCTTGTTTTTATTAAATCGATAATTTTTTGTACATTTCCAAATTTATGAAAATTTTGCATACGTTTATTTCACATAAAATGTGTATATATTTTAAGTAGGTATAAATAATGTCTAAAAGACTTACGTTGTAAAGACGTCTTTTAGACATGGATGCTGTCTAGGAATACATATTTACAAAAACATTTTAAATATGCTATTTTCAAAATAGCTATATATCACATAAATAATATAATTTTTATTCATTAATTAATTATTAATTAATTTTTATAATAATTAGTAAATTGCAAGCAAAAGATACCTAAATATTGCGCGGCATATTGCTAAATTTAAAAAAACTTAAAAATATTTTTTACAATAATATTCTATTTTTAATAACTTATGGAAATAACTTATGGTTGTATAAATTTTATTTAAACAAATTTGATAATATAATCTATTTAGATATAATCCACATGAAAACGTATCGGTTACTTACGATTACGTCTTGGCATTAAAATACATATTTTTGCATAAATCATGTTATCAAAATATTTAGTTCGCCATTATTTTGCAGGATGTGCGCGTATTTCTTGACGGAGCAAAAAATGGAGCTGTCGTAATATCGTTAGGAACAAATGTTAAATGGAAAACGATCGGCCTAGACAAGGTTGAAACCGTTATACTGGCTCTGTCGAAATTGAAGCAACGAGTCCTATGGAAACTAGATATCGAAGTGCCATTTAAAATACCGGACAACGTAATGATTGTGAAATGGATGCCGCAAAGCCTAGTTTTATGTACGTTTCCCAATTTTTAGGAAAATACGAGAAACATGAGACCCGATATATATATTTTCTCGTAATATTTACATATAATTAATCATTGCTTTTCGTATATTCTCTTATCAACTGAAATATTCTTATAATTAAACTGAAGCTCTTTTTATTAACAATTAGAATGTCTATAAAATTTGAGTTTTAAATGTTATTAATTATTATAGTACCATTCTCTTAAAAATGGCATTGAGTAAAATAAAATTTATAATTGTGAGAATTATTTACTTTTACGTAATACTGATTCGAGTCTCAATTGTTATCGCCAGTGTTTTAGTAAAATATCGCGGAAGATATGAAAACAATGTATATATAATATACATAAATATTTTGTGCGTTAAACAGTTCTTGACTAATTACAGTAAAACTCCATTTTGAAAATAAATGCGGTATAAGGAAATTAGTTTTTGTTGCATTAAATTTATCTGGTTATCTCATCATTAATGTCTGAACAATTTTTGTTTAATAGTTTTTTCGCATCTAACAATAAAATACAATTTCAGTTTTCAATTATATTTTATAATTTTTTTATAATAAGACAGTAATTTTTATTATAATAAAAAACTCGTCTTTTGTTTAAAAATAATGTACAGGCGAGAAAACGGTTGATTGAAAAGCACATCACATTTAATTTATCATGCACATTAATCGGCATGTACAGCTAATTAAATGCTTGTATCAGTGTGAGATTTCTATCAATGTCCATCATAATAATAAAAATTAAAAAATTTTTTATAATCTATTTTTATGTCTAGCTCATAAAAATGTAAGAGCAGTCTGGACGCATGGTGGTCTTCTCAGTACTCAGGAAAACATTTGGAAAGG